GATTATAAAATTTTAATAGTAATGTGATTATATAGAGTTTTTTTAATAAATATATTGCCAATAATTTTTCAAAAAATAGTGTTTATAAAGAGGGTGTGATTATATAGAAGGTGACTATAGAGAAGGATAACTGTAAAATTTATAAAAACTAGATACTAGAAATAGAAAATATACAAAAATTGATGAATCTTAAAGAAAAAGTTCTAAAATAACTACTTAAAGTATTAATTAAATTAATAAACACTATAATTAATAATATACAAATAAATAAATAAAAATTTTAAAAAAAACAATATACTTGTAAGCTATTAATAATTAAAGTATTTAAGATAATTAATAATATTTTATAGAATTACAAAATATTTTTTGCTACAAAAAATAGACAAAACAAGTTGTAAAAAAGTAAAGTTAAATCAAAATATATGAAAATTGATGAATCTAAAAAAAAATTCTAAAGTAACTACTTGGAGTATTAATTAAATTAACAAACACTTTAATTAATAATATATAAATAAATAAAAAAAATTTAAAAAAAAACAATATATCTATAAGCTATTAATAATTAAAGTATTTAAGATAATTAATAATATTTTATAAAATTATAAATATTTTTTAAAATTACAAAAAATAAAAATAAGTTGTAAAAAAAAGTTAAACCAAAATATATAAAAATTAATGAAATTTAAAAAAAAAATTCTAAAAAAATCACTCAAAGTATTAAATAAATTAACAAATACTATAATTAATTATAAGGAAGACAGGGGTATTGTGATGAATTTGTAATATCTTGTGATCTAGTGATTCAAATCAGATAATTTTAGTACCATTCAATGCCTCTCAATTGAAGGATTTGAATAGTATAAAAATTACCCAGTTAAGAACACTAGATTACAAGATTTAAAAAGCAATGTGGTATTATAATAAATAGAGTATTATGATAAACCAACAATTATGTATTGTAACGAAGCACACATACTAAGCATTGTGAAAAAAAAACTAGTAATAACATGTCATGGTTCTTTTTAAGCTAAAAAACAAAAAAAAAAAGTTTATCATAATTGAACTTGCATTGCATATTTAGTACTTTATTTTGTATTAATTACTGAATCATTGTTGAAATAATGCTCCGGGCCATTATTCGAGGCACACAATTTCTAAAACTAAGAATTGATTTAAGCAAAGATTTTATTATTAATTATATTAATCAAAATAAACTTTTAGACCTCCGGAAATTGCACATTTTAAAATAATGCCCAAGGTATTATTTTGTAATAATTTGTAAAATTAATAAATTAAACACATTTCAGGTAGACCAATAAATTTAAACCTTTGACAATATTTATTTCACATATTTTATAAAGGAATTATGTGTATAAAATTATCTATTTATTGTACAGTAAAAGCAAACACTGTTGTTTTATATCAAACTATTATATTTTATTATTTATTGCATAGTAAAATAAATATTTTGACTTAGTTATTTTATCACAATATCATTATATTTTACAAGACTATATTGTAACTTCGTAATATATTAAAGATGCCTCTAGTTTTTTATATTAATCAACGTAATACTATTCATGAGATACTTGATAAATTAAATAATTGCTCTCCTAACTCTAAACACCCAAGTGTTAATAGTGTTGCTAAAAAGTTTGAAATCTCAGAAACTACTCTTAGATGTCTATAAAAAATGGCAACCCTTCTAACCATACAAGCCTACCAACTATACTTACCGAGCTGAGAAGAATCAACTTGCAGGCTATTGTATTAATGCACAAAGTCTTGGGTTTGGCCTAACAAGATCTGGCATTAATCATTGTATAATAGAAATCTTAAAATTAAGCAAGCGATTACACTTTTTTAATAAGAATAGACTAGGTCAAGATTGGTGAGTGTGTTTCATAAGAGATCACCCTGAGCTATCATTTCACACTCTTCAAGAGTTATCAGAAGCACAAGTACAAAAGGCCAATGCAACAATTGTAAAAGATTATTTTGAAAAACTTGGCAAAATCATTAATGAAAATTTACTTACTACTATACAGATTTGGAATATGGATGTAACTAGTTTTAACCTTATTCCCAAATCTGAAAAAATTATTGTACGAAAAGGTACACACCAAATTCACAAAGTTGCATATGAAAATTCTACTGAACATATTTCAGTAATACCTACAATTTCAGCCACTGGTTTATATATACCATCTTTATTCATTTATAAAGGTGTTCATACAATCCCTAGTCTATTAGAAGGTGTATTTCCTGGAACTGTTATGGGTTTCATGGATAGTAGGTACATGCGTGGGAATCTTTTTCAAATATACCTAAACTATTTTATTAATTTTATCCCATCTATTTGACTAGTTTTATTGATATTTGATGGCCACAAAAACTATATTAACTATATGAGTATAGGCTTTTGTTACTAAAATAATATTCTTCTCTTTGCTCTGCCACCTCATACAATGCATATTTTACAACCATATAAAACTTTATTTGTGAAATTAAAAAATGGATATAGCAAAGTATGTGATAAGTATCATACTAATAATGGTAAAATAGTAACCAAGCATACCTTTGTGAAGATTTTTGGTCTCATTTTTATTGAGATCTACACACTACTAGCAATTTGCAATGCCTACAGAACTACAGGCATATGGCCATATAATCCTAGTGCAATTAGTGATGATTATTTAGACCCTTCTTTATTAACTAAACAATTTAATGAACCAACCAACCTATCTTTAATTTCACCATTACTTGTTTAACCAAATCATCTTTATTATACTTGCCTAAATACTAACAGTTTAAAAGAAGAAAATATTATACTTAAAAATGAAAATGATTTGTTGAGATCTCAAATTGAGAAACTAAGTAAGAAACTAGAAACTTATAAGAACTCTGGAACATGTGTATTACATTTAGCACTTAAGTATCTAGTTCCTCAAGCTCAAAATTCTCAAATGATATCTGACTATACAAGATCTGGAAACCAACCTGAGCTTGGATTGTCTTTATCTAAGAAAAAAAGAAAGACTCTCCCATTTGCATGGCTTTTAACTGAAAATAAAAGTTGGCATTAGTTAAATAAGTTGAATAAAGAAGCAAAATGAAAAGCTGAAGAGATAAAGCAGAAAAAAGAGGCTGCAGCTCAAAAAAAAAAGAAGCAGCAGCCAAAAAAAAAGAAGCAGTAGCCCCAAAAAAAGAGGCATTGGCTAAAAAAAAGGAAACAGCTACTCAAAAAAAAGGCAGTACAATGATTAATTTTAAAAAAAAATTAAGTTAAACTGAAAAAAATTTTTTTTTTTATAATTAAACTGAAATTCTCCAGAATATCTCTTTTGCCTGAAATTTAAAACTTAAAATACATCGCATATAATGCTGTCTTTTAATTAATTCTGATTTGCCTATCGCTTCTTTTTTTACAGTAGCTTATTTTTGAATGCAACATAAATCAATAATATAAATATTTAAAGAGTTATATAGGTTAATAAAAAGTTTTTATAGTAGAAATCTTAACTTCGCCACAATACTCCTGTCTTCCTTATATAAATAAATAAATAAAAATTTAAAAAAAATAATATACCTGTAAGCTATAAATAATTGAAGTATTTAAAATAATTAATAATATTTTATAGAATTATGAAACATTTTTTGAAGCTACAAAAAATAGACAAAATAAATTATAAAAATTAAAATTAAACCAAAATATACAAAAATTGATAAATTTTAAAAAAAAAGTTTTAAAAATCACTCAAAGTATTAATTTTTTTTTTTTTTTTTTATTTGGCAGTCTTGCTTATACTTTATTAGACTTTATAATATTATACTTTGAAATATTAAAATTTTTCAAAGGCCTATTTTTTTTGATATCTAATTTACAAGTATTGGCTTATCTGGTTGTTTTAGAAATACCTTAATGCAACCTGCTATAGTAAAATTTACTTTCATACTAACTTATTTTGCAAATAAGCTTATTAGTACTTCATCAGATAGCTCTTATAGCTTGTTAAGACTACTAATTAATTATTCACAAATTTGTCTATAAACTATCTTTAATCCAATCTAAAATTTTTTTTCTAGTTATATTAATAATTATTTCCCATTTTACTTTTTTTTCTTCTTTTTTGTGATCTTCTTTCTGGGCTATATTTGAAGTATCTTTTTCTTCATATCTTTTGTTAGTTTTTTTTTTTCTTTTTTATTTCTTTAGCTGCAAATAGTTTTCTTTTCTCCTTTCATATTATACTATTTGCCTTCTCCTATTTTTGAAGAA